CCCGATACGAATGCAACACACGCATACGATGCACACGAACGTTAACGCGGAGCACGCAGGCAGGTTCAACACGCTGAGTAACGATTGTAACGGGCATCATAGGTTACTTGGTGCTCCAAACGACTTGATCGAAATTAAAAGAAATTTTGGTACATATTTCGGCCGGATGACACACACTACGCCAGTTTGTATCAAATACGATTCACTGTGAGTCATGGCAAAAAAAATAATTTTTGTCATATTATTGATCATTTTGTTGTCAATTTATGTGTATTTTGACCATCATACTGCAAGGAACGATTGCATTCTCAGAATAAAAATATTCCCGGGTGGGCATCATGCCGGATCCCCCTCGAAACTACTAATTTGATGGCCAGAAACTACAGATTGCTTCAAATATGTGTTGGCATCTCTGCCATGCAGGGCACGTCCATCTATGTGACGGTGTCACCATGCAGGGCACGTCCCTCTATGTGACGGTCCCTCACCGTTCACCGTGTGTGATTGTGTCTCGTTGCTGTTGTACAGGGGAGCTGTCGTGCGACTGTGGCGTTCGCACGTGTCGCGTGTGTCATGAGGAAATGTGTCGAGGTATTCGGGAGTCTCGCCTTATACCGGCAACGGCGACAGAAGTAAAACAAGTTCAACCGAGCGCCCAGTAAAAGGTACGCTCTCGCCCGCAGCGCGCACGCGGGTCGAGCGTAGCGGTGTTAACGGCACAGCGTAACTATGAAGGAAAGGGATGGTTAAAGAAGGAGGGTGATGAAAGAAAAGAGGGGAGAGCAATAGGAAGGAGGGGAGAGCAATGGGAAGGGGGGGAGAGCAATGGGAAGGAGGGGAGAGCAATGGGAGGAGGGAGATCAATAGGCAGAAGGAGGGGAGAGCAATAGGAAGGAGGGGAGACAATTGGGAAGAGGGAGATTCAATAGGAAGGAGGGCAGAGATTACAATAGGTTAAGGCACGGGGGAGCCAATAGAAAGTCGAGTGGGAGAGCAATAGGAAGGAGGGGAGAGCAATAGGAAGGAGGGGAGAGCAATAGGAAGGAGGGGAGAGCAATAGGAAGGAGGGGAGAGCAATAGGAAGGAGGGGAGAGCAATGGAGGAGGGGAGAGCAATAGGAAGGGGGGGAGAGCATTAGGACAGGGGGGAGCAAGTAGGAAGGCAGGGGGAGCAAGTAGGAATTTTTGAGGGAGCGGGAGAGCAAATAGAAGGAGGGCAGGGACGCACATAGGAGAGGTAGGGCGAGGCGCAATAAGGCAGGCAGGGGAGGAAATAGCGACAGGAGGGAGAGCATAGGAAGGAGGGGGGGAGCATATGGAAGGGTGGAGGGGTGTAGGAAGTTGGTCACGCTACACCTCGGCCGCGTCCTGCGTGCCCGGCGCACGGTACGCGGTCGGAACAGAACGTCGTTTACTACATATAGATCGCACTGTGGTTTCCGCGTCAGTCATATATTGCTGATAGATGGTGTCAGGTCTACTCTGACGTGTTTGTTATGATGTATCTTGCCGCTTGTTTTTTGGCGTGCGGCGGTGTGAAGTGCAGTTGATGTCACATGTCGTGGTGACGATCGCGCGGCGGCCTCGGGAAGGAGGGGAGAGCAATAGGAAGGAGGGGAGAGCAATAGGAAGAAGGGGAGAGCAATAGGAAGGAGGGGAGAGCAATAGGAAGGCAGGGAGAGCAATAGGAAGGCAGGGAGAGCAATAGGAAGGCAGGGAGAGCAATAGGAAGGAGGGGAGAGCAATAGGAACGAGTGAGATGTAGGAAGTTGGTCACGTTACACCCTCAGCCGCCGCCGCGTGCGCTGCGCACGTATGGGTCGGAACAGCACGTCGTTTAATACTATAGAATCGCACTGTGGTTTCCGCGTAGTTATATTGCTGTAGATGGTGTAGGGTTACTCTGACGTGTTTGTTTTTATGTACTTGCCGCCTTGTTTTTTGTCGTTGCTGTGACAAGTGCAAGTTGATGTCACATCGTGGTGACGTCGCGCGCGGCGCTTGTCCCCGAAAAGATGTCAGTTGCCGTTAACCTCGTGGCTTTTCTTTACCTCTACAGTTAAGCAGGAGGAGCAGCAGGAGGAGGGTTTGTTATCGAGCCAGACTGCTGGAACGGAGGAGGAAGCATCTGCCGGGAAGAAGAGGAAGAGAAAGAGTCAGAAGGATCTCTCCTCGGGAGAAGCGGCCAAGGAAGAAGGTGCGATGCCAAAGCCGAAACGGAGGAGGAGGTTGAAAAAGAAACCACTCCATCTGGGGGAGGGACTCATAAAGGAGGAGGGGAAGGAGGAGGAGGCGGCGGCGGCTGCGGAGGGACAGGCTCCGAAGCCGAAACGGAAAAGGAGGTGGTTTAGAAAACCCGTCTTTTTCGTTGAAGAGGAGAAGAAGGCGCGAGGGAAGAACAACGCCATCTCCACCGACAACGCCGCCGAGACGCCGCCAGATGGCGCCACCAACGTGAAGCAGGAAGTCGACGATGCGGCAGAAGTTGACGCGGCCACCAGGCGGCGCCCGCAGATGCGTGCGATGCTGCTCGTAAAAGATAGCTCGCTGCTCAACATGAAACTCGCAGATGCGTTGAAGCGGCGCGCCATCCAGGCCCAGAAGGGCGTCGCCCAGAAGGGCGTCGGCAAGCAGCGGCGTCGCAAGCCGCTGCTGCTGCCGCCGAAGAAACAAAAGCTGCAGGTGGCGCCGCCGGCGAGCGGGGAGGATGCGGTGAGGTCGTCGACGCGCATTCAGGCGCGCATTGTGCGACACTTTGAGAAGATGAGGTCTAACGCAGGGGAGGAGGCCGAGGATGAGGATGCGGAGGAGGGGAGGAGTCCAACGAAAGCCGAGTGTCAGGTAGGCACGATTTATATTGATAGTGATGATGATGATGATGATGATGATGATGATGATGATGGTGACGACGATTATGATGATGAGGATATCGATACTGATGATGACGATAGCGACGGTGATGACGATGACAACGACGATGGTTAGCATGGGTGTTTAGCGTCGTGTATTGCGTGTGCAGGGACCGAGGATTAAACACGTTGCTCGTCGGATGGAGGTGGCACTGGGGAAGCCCGCCATGGCCGAGGCTACCACCCTGCACCTCAGCGCTCTCCCTGATGATGAGAAGACCAACCTGAGGTCCTCTGATGACAGTGGTAAGATTGGAAGAATGAGTAGATGTAACAAGATTAATGGTTGTGAAAGACGGACATGGGTTGTAGAGGTGGAGGAGAGGGAGCGGATGAGGAGAATTCCTTGTGAGAGACGAAAGGAAGAATGTGTGAGAAAGAGATGACACAAAAAAATGTGACACAGATGAGAGGGAGAGGGACAAAGCGAAACAACGAATGTGAGAGAGAGAGAGAGAAAGAGAGAGACAGAGAGAGAGAGCGAGCGAGAGCGAGAGCGAGAGAGAGAGAGAGAGAGAGAGAGAGAGAGAGAGAGAGAGAGAGAGAGAGAGAGAGAGAGAGAGAGAGAGAGAGAGAGAGAGAGAGAGAGAGAGAGAGAGAGAGAGAGAGAGAGAGAGAAGAGAGAGAGAGAGAGAGAGAGAGAGAGAGAGAGAATGAATGAGGGATGTTATACGTATAACGAGATAACCCCCCATCACTATACACCTCCTTGTATACTCCCCCGCGAACCTAACACCTCGCTATCGTTGTCGCACAGATGATGAGTGGTCCGTCGCTGGCAAGCCCAAGAAGAAGGCGGGGTCGGTCGGCAGCGCCACGCCACGGTCCACGCGATTCCGTCGCATCCGCTGTGGCCGCTGCCTGCCGTGTTGCAGGAAGGATTGTCGGACATGCCCCCCCTGCATGTACGTTACGTAACCCCCCTCCCCTCGCTGTCACTCATCCCGCGTAGTCGTGGCAACGGCGCGCCGCCTCCCGTCGTTTCCGTAGTATTGGTCAATAGGGTCAATGCTGACACTTCAGTGTCCGTGGCTGCTAGTGCTAGCGTGTAGATTGTGTATCATGTAGAGCCTCGTGTGTGAGTGTTTAGTTTTGCGAATTGCGAATTGCAATGAGGACAACAGGTGTGCTATATCTCTACGGAAGTGAAATCTAAATCTCACACTATTTTGACTTGCTGTTTACAGTGACATGAGCAAATATGGCGGTCGTGGAGTATACAAGAAGGGATGCAAGTAAGTATCTCTCATAGCATGGATAGCTATTTTATTTCACGTGGTTTCGTGGCGTAGATGTAGTGATCGTGAGATGAGATGGGAACCGAGAGCACCAGATGGAAACTGAAGGGATACGATGGGAACCAAGGGGATGTAATGGGAACTGAAGGGATACGATGGAAAATTGGGGGATGATGGGGTGAGCGCACGGGATCAGGAAACTGAGGAAAGGTGATGGGAATAGACGAGGTACTATGGGGACCAGGGGAAGCTGTGGGAAGCGAGGGGATGAGAAGCGGCGGGGATGTGGCGGAAACTGAGCGCCCAGCGTCGTTGCAGGCTGCGTATCTGTGAGAAACCTCAGTTTGGCCGTGACATCAAAGATGGCGTCGCGAAGGGTATGACAATCAGCGCTGCGGTAAAGAAAGTGCGCGGGAAGGCCTACAAGCACAACAAGCTACAGATGGAGCCACAGGTACTGTTGACACAATATAAAATAATAAAACTAATAATAATAATAATATTTATATATATATATATATAAACAAAGTCAAGGAATTGGCTATTCCAATGTCTACTGACCTGATGAAGAGATGTAATCTCGAAAACTTCTTAATTAAATTTTAATTTGACTTTGTTTTTATCTACATGGGTGTTCGCTGCGATAAGCTTTAAGCGGCGGGTCGCAACTATAGGATATGGCGCTGTGCTTAGGCTTAGAACAATATCCTCGAAAAAATGGCCGTAAATATGTTTTCCACGGAAATTCTCAGCAAAAAATCTGCTAATATCTCAAATTTTTTTCTAATATCCCCATAAATGTTAGTAATGAATATCTACAGTTATTTCAATGTAATTGTCATTTTAAACATATTTATTGTGTGCGAAAAAAAAATTCATACGCTGTTTAGCGAATCTCCATTCGCGTGTTTTCGCCCGGAGCTCCGCGCGCACTTAAAAAATAGTGCTACATTGGGCAGTGGTATGCCCCTTGAGTGTACGAAGGCACTGGCCATGACAGTATTGCACGGGCCGCTGGATGGGTTTTTCTTAACTAGAAAAGGACAAAAAGCTCATCTCTCAGCTAAAATCGGCTTAATATTTGAGAAAATTGAATGTTATATCTTCTAAATAATTAACGGATTGTTGCTAAAATATCCAGATTTTATAAATATTTCCAAAACGTTCTAAATATCTTACAAAAAATATCGGCGGATATTTGTATCTGGCCTATCCTGTTGCAGACCGGTGGCAGGTCACGCCGAGTCGTAGCTTAACCAGTTGAAAAATTAATTTTTTCATTTCCGGGCTCTTTTTTGGGGGGCAAAACCCCCCAAAATTTCAGGGGCTACTTTTCATTTTTCCAGGCTCTTTTCGCACTTCCAGGGCGACTTTTTTTTCGCAGTGGCTGTTTCGCTCACATGTACACACAAGCACAGTAAGCTAATACCTGTTGCTAATACACACTGCGGCGGGGGCGCGCGACAAACACACATCACGACGGACACACACACATACGCACGCACGCAACGCACGACCACAGCGCACAACACAGACACACACACGACAATCGACACACACACATCGCACACAACACGACAGGGACACACACACATCGCACGACTCAGAACATTCAAGACAGTTATTACATCGAGCTGACAGACTAACATGATAATGCACAACTCACATCCAAGCCACAAAATGCACGACTTGAAATAGTGAATGGAATCGCAGTTCAGTCCTAAACACAGAACTAAATTAGGGCTAGCAAGAATAGTGAATGGCTTGCCTGTACGAGCGGAGGATCGATTGTTTATAAATCGAAGTCTCTTAGCGGCTGGGTCGGGCAAGGCCGCGCGTATAGGGCGCCTGGCAGGCTCAGGGTTTGAGAGGACGCGGCCGCCGAGCACGTGTGAATGGCTGTGCAGCAATCGACGGCTTCTTACGGATACCTCGCCGTACTGGCTGGCGTACCTGTGACCTGCTGGCACGGGCCGCCCATTGCGATATGAAGTATGTGGGGGGGCAACGATTGTTTCAGCGTCGGTACTAGACACTACTTCAAATTCATGTAGAGGTTGGTAATTAGTCTGGACTAATAGAAGAGTGTCGACACTGATGAAAAACTCTATTCGAGGGGATTGACCTAAAAAAACTACAATCGGGAATGAGCAGGAATCACAGAGGCCACACGTTAGTCGCGCGGCCAGTGGAGGAAAATATACGTGTGAATTCATCCTCATGAAATATCAATTAGGATTTCCATGATTACCTGTTCTTATACCATCTATCGGGTGCGTTGGTCCGCTATGGGTTCTAACGTAGGCACGCCCGCGAGGCGAGCGCACGCTACGCACGGCGCGCAGGCACGCAACAGCACGCTGCACTACATGGCACCGCGCCTAGGCCACACACGGCGAAGCGGAGCGCGTCACCGGCAGGCACTACCTTGTTTACTGCATTGACTGAAGTAGGTTCGCGCACACACAGACGCGACTGCAGCGCAGGACGCACCGCACTGCACGGCACCGGCTTAACTGCGACCTTGTGCCGCGACGCACTGCACGCACACCACGCAATGCACGCCCCGCAATGCACAGCACGGGCGCAGGCGGGCGAGGCACACGTAAGCGCCATCGCGCACAGGCAAGTCGACGTATATATACGGCGCGGGCGGCGGCGCGCGCCATTGGATTGAAGGCAAATACAGTACAGTACACACATGCATGCTTAATGATAAACACTTGACAGCACACACGCGTTACCAAAAAGGAATTCTACGCACCGGGAAACCCGGCTGCCGGCTAAGCGGCCAGAGGCCGAGCGAGATGGGCAAGGCGGTGGCGGAGACCCGACCTGGCAATCATTTCCAAGGAGACTTTTGCTATTGGTCCCCCGAGTGAGGT